GAATAGTTTTCCTACTCCTCTTGAAGTGACTCCCTGATCTGTAGGGCAGGTACTTACGCTAAAACAAGTCAGTGCTGCTGTGTGAGCTCAGCATGAATTGAAGAGTTCTCCATTTTGGTCGCTTGGCAAGAGTGTGCCGAGACTAACAGGGGGCCCAGAAGTGCTCTGATAAGGATCAGCCCAGTTGTGCATTTTATTGTTTTGTTGGATGGTGATTCGTGCCTGATAGCATTCAGCACTGTGCAGGAGGGAGGCTGTGCTGCTGCTGCCCCTGCTTCCCCAGGCCCCAGGGGAGTGCTTGACCCCCTTCTGCTGCTGCTGGGTCAGAGGGTCAGGTGTGGCTCCCCTTTGGTTCTTTCAAGTCCATTTGTCACAGGCAGTGTGTGGCTGATTTACATTTTAACATACTCTTCTGCTGCTGTGGCTTGGAATATCCATGTAGTGTGACTGACCCTGGTGGCCATCGCTCAAGGGAACAAGCATATTTTATTGTAAATTTTTTTTTTTTTGCCATCACCTGTATTGTTCCCTCTTCCTGCCCTTTCCCTGTCCCTTTCCCTTCTCTTCCTAATCAAATAGGCTTGGTTTGGAAATTAAAACAATCTGTGAAATCCCTGTGGAATGTGTTCCCTTTCTCCTCCTTTTGCCAAAACACTGGGACCCTGTGTGCTGGTCACATGTTTGAAAGCTGAGCACGTATAGGAATGGAGAGTTAAGGCTGTGCTGGTCACTCTCAAGTGGGGCTGTGCTTTTTTTCTTGCACTGTCCCTAAATCTCTCTGGGGGATTGTCTGCATTCCCACACTTCTGTGGCACCTGCCTGGACCACTCCTGAGCACACAAACTCACAGGCTGCTTCTGCTCCCTCTTCTTTCAAACCTCTCAGAATCAACATATCTCTTCAGGCAGCAAAGAGTTGTTCTTCACTCCCTGTTACCAGTTGGAGACTATTCAACCTCACCATTGACATGCAGTATAAACAGGGGCAGTGAAGAGGGCAAGGAAATGGAGTTAGCTGTCCCTTTGTTGTGAGAAGCACCATGTACTACAGCTGGCAGGGTGCATGTGCTTGGCCTACATGCAGGCAAAGCTGGTGTGAGCTGACAGGGCATGCAGGCAGCACAGACAGGAAAAAAAAGGCTTGAGACACTGAATTGACATAGTGTGTGGTATGTGCAAGGCCTATTTGCACACACTTTCTGCTTGAGTTCCTCCAGAGTGTGAGCCTGTTCAAGGCAACCACTGGTGAAACTGGGGTGGCTGGGGGAAGTTGGGCTTGGCTGTGAGCCAGCAGGCTCAGGAGAGCAGTGTCTCTCATAATTCTGGCTGGTGGTGAAGTGGTGGCCTTTGTGTAAGAGCCTCATTAAGAGAGGCTGCCCTAAGACTGAGAGCAAAATGCATTTTCTTCCAATTTCTGTGCCTGAAGCTGGAACTCCTCTGTGTTCAAACTGGTAAAAATCAAGTGAAGGGAAGGTATCTGCACCTACAAGAATTTCAATCACTGCAGGCTGAGCCCTGCCTCCTTCACCTCATCCTGTCCTCCTTAAGTTTTGCTGTGAGCTTGAGGCCAAAACTGAGACAGAAGAGAATCTGAGGTCTCTTTAAGTCTTGAACCTAGTGTAGCATTCCTTGAAGCTCCTTGACTTCTTGCTGCTCTTTGTTGTCTCTGCCATGGAGGAGCTGATGCAGAGACCAAGCCAAGGGGCTGACCTTTACAGGAGGCCATCTGCAGTGAGTCCCATGGAGCATGTTGTGGGTGAGGTCCTGTCTGTGCAAGGAGCCTGGAAAGGCTGGAGGGATGCTGCTGCTTGCACAGTGGGGACCTGTGAGCAAGCCTTGAGCGCCAAGCCATGGCAGCAGAACAAGTGTGAGAGGTTGCTCTCTTGAGTTTCTTTCAGAAACAAACAATATTCAGAAACAGAATTTTCCTGGGCCTGGTATTTAGTGTCAAGATGAGATTTCTATAGGAAAAAGGGTTATGTGAGGGTAGAAGTGACAGTCTCTGCAGAAGATAGATATGCTTCTAGGTAGGACATGGATTTGGAAGTCCGTTAAAATTGTCTCATGCTTCTGGATCAGGAAGGAAACAAAAAGAGGCTAACTCTGGTTTCTATTAGAAGCTGATCCCAGAGGATGACTGTTTCCCAGTGGTGGCCTGGAGGAATGTGGGGTCATTCCAGTGCTGTTTCAGCCTGTCTTGTGCAACCATTTCACCCCGAAAGCACTGCTGTTGTCAGGAAATATTTTTAGCTTGAACTTCTTTAGTCCAGCAAGGCAGCAGTGGTGCAGAGATCTATTGGCATGGAGCAGTTCTGGGCACGTCTGAGAGCAGTGAAACTCTGTAGTGGTAGTAATGGGATCTGGCTCCTTGCAGGCAGTATCTGGCTTGGCAGAGGAGGTTTAGACCCCCAACAAGTGGAAGTTCAGGTGTGCTGCCTTTGCACCCCATCAGGAGAGCAAAGACCAGCTGCCTCCCTGAAGCCTTGGTAGAAGCTAAAGCTGGTGCGATCACTGCTGGGTAGATGAACAAAATAAAACCCTGGGGCAAGGCTGAGGAAGGGGCAGATGGGGCACACAGCAGGGGCAGGGCAAAGACCACCAAAGAGGGCACCAGCACTGGCCAGAGAGCAGCTGTGACACTGAACAGGCACCACTCCCTTCATCTGGCCTTCCCCAAGGCCATGACCCAGGTTGACTTCTGCTGGCCTGAGGCAGATTTATCCCCTCTAGACCTATGTCCCCCATGGTCTTCCCTGCACAGTAGTGCAAAGCTGAGCATGAGAGCCAGTGCCTCCCAGCTGCTCATCACATCAGTGTGTTTGGGCAGTCACCCTGTCCCCCAGGAGCACTAAGCACCTCTGGGATCCTGCAGGGGCAGAGAGGCATTTGGCCATCCAGCAGTAGAGGGGCTCGTGGACCCTGACCAGCATGTCCATCACCCACAGGTGGCACAAGGATGGGGCATACTGGTCCTGGCAGCTGAGATTGCTGAATAGGGGAAGGGCTTGAAGAGAGAGATTAATATCAAGTCTTCCAGATTTTTGTCTGTTTGCAGATCTGCTGCATTCCCTGGGAGAGTGAAATGCCAGCTGTGGAGGGAAATGGAAGCATTATGCCCTCCTGCAAGCAAATGATGTGTCACACAGGCACTACCACCCCTGGCCTCTTCGAAACAAGCAAAGAAGCAGAACGAGGAGAGCAGAGGGCTGGAAGCATGGCACAGCCCTGCAGCTGCCTCCTTCCCTTTGCTCAGGCTTAGTGCTGCCATTGCTATTTTGGCTGGATGTCACCTTTCTGCCCTTGCACCTCCACAGCTCCTGTGACTTACCCAGCCAGAGGAAAGGCAGAGCCTGGAAAACTAGTGAGTGCAAATCCCACATGGGCCCTGCCACGCTGGTGCTCCCAGCCCCCTGTGATTTGAGGGAGAGGCAATGTCTGGGTTGCTGCCCTCTCTCCAGGGGTGGCTTACCCTTCCTCCCCCCTCCTCCTTTTCCTCCTCCCACGTTTCTGGCTCCGTCCGGTGAGCACTGCTGGGAAAGCAACACAACGGGGCCCATTCAGTTCTTGCTTCTGCAAGGAGAGCAAACACCGGTGTGGCCCCCCCCCAGCCACTAGACAGGGCAGGGGACGCTTTCCTCTCTTCTGCTGCTTCTTGGAGTCCAGGTACTCCCAGCCCCAGGTGTGTGACCCCCCCAGGTGTGCGGGAGGGAGTGGTGGGACAATGCCTGGCATGTGGCAGTGTCCCAGGCACAGCATGGGGACTGAGTTCGGGGCATTGTGTTGGTGGTGCTCACCGGTGGGTGCACAGGAGGGAGACAACCCCAGTGCATGTGTGGGCTCCAGCAGGACAAGCTGTGGTGTCAGCAGGAGAGCAGAGTTGGGGCATGGGACAATGAGCCATAGTGGGCAGGGGATGTGCAACACAGTGGCTCCACGGGTTTGAGCCCTGCAGAACCCCACTGCTGCTGTCTCAGTGCTTGGGGGTTGTATTGGCCATATCTGCAGCCCCACTGCCTCCTCTGTGCTTGCTTCAGCCTTGGCCTCTCTCTGGTGTCTTCGCCCCAGGGGCTCACTCCTGCTCAGCCAAAACCAGCCCGTTCTTCCTGCAGCTAAACAGTGGAGTTCTTTTC